CTCTTGTATTAAAAGAGGTATAGACTCCAGAGAGAGAGATATCATATTACCCTGGTACAAATCATTAGTAAGACCTCATCTGGAATATGCAGTTCAGTTTTGGGCACCAATTCACAAAAAGAACATTGGGGAACTGGAGAAAGTACAGAGAAGGGCAACCAAACTGATACGAGGCATGGAGGAGCTCAGCTATGAGGAAAGATTAGAGGAACTGAATTTCTCTCGAGAAGAGGAGATTAAGGGGGGATATGATCACATGTAAAAATACATCAGTGGTACATATAGTGAACTCGGTGTAGAGTTATTCACCCTGAGTTTATCACAGAGGACAAGGGGGCACTCTTTATGTCTGGAGGAAAAGAGATTAATCTCTAAATACGGGAAGGTTTCTTCACAGTGAGAGCTGTGAAAATGTGGAATAGACTCCCTCAAGAGTTGATTCTGGCCAGCTCAGTGGATTGCTTTAAAAAAGTCCTGGATTCTTTCTCGGATACACAGAATATAACTGGACACTAACATTTATAGGTAAAGTTGATCCAGGGAATATCAGATTGCCTCTCGGGGGATCAAGAAGGAATTGTTTCTCCTGCAGGAGCAAATTGGATCATGCTTTGCTGGGTTTTTTTTTCCTTCCTCTGGATCAACTGTGGGTGTAGGATTATAACTTTTTTTTTTTTATGGTTGAACTGGATAGACTTTTGTCTTTTTTTAGTCAGCCAGACTGACTATGTAACTGTAAAACATTGGGGGTTATTTACTAAACTTGGAGAGTGCAAAATCTGGTGCAGCTGTGTGTACAGAAACCAGTCTGCTTCCAAGTTTTATTGTCAAAGCTTAAGTCTAGGTTCACACCTATGCAGGTTGCATTTGAGAAGTTTCTGCATTGCGTATTGTGTTGCATTTTGCGTTTTTGATGCGTTTTGTTTTCTTTTTAATTTTTATTTCTTTTTCTTGTTGCCAGGAAGATTTTAAACACAAAACACAACAAAAACGCAATACATGCTTTTCTGCAGCATTCCCATTGAAGTCTATAGACCTAAAAATGCAATGTTTTGCATTCAAAAAGTCCCTGACCCTTTCCAAAAAATGCATCTGGTTAAAATGTGGAGATGTGAACCTGTCCCATAGGAAATCATGTTAAATGGACTGTACTGTGTTTCTGCAAAATGCGGCAGAAAACGGTTAGGTGTGAACCTAGGGTAACTGAACAAGCTGAAGTTAGAAGCTGATTGGCTACCATGCACAGCTGCACTAGATTCTGAGTGCTCCAGTTTTAGTAAATCTCCCCCATTGATTCTGGCTTCCCCCAGAGTGTACATAATGTCATTCTTGGCCTTACCGTAGATATCACCCTGCTTTCAGCAAGCTGCCTATTGTAACATCTAATGAGATGAGCATCTAAATATGGCTGTTTGTGGTCTGGCGTGTCTCATCAAGGCAGGCTAAGCTCCTGGAAACACAACACATATAAAGCTGAGAAAGCCCAGCGCCAAGATAATATCATATTAAAAATTCTCCAATGTTCCCGTCACTGCAGCAAAATAGACCGTGGATAATACAAGACAGAGCGGCTCATGTGTTCCAACAGATCTTCCGATAGGCAGAGTATGAATTGCAGCACACAATGATTCTGGCGTTCAAAATATATTATGCAGAACAGAACATTTCACTACTTCATTTCCAGAACATGCCTGGGCTAAATTAGTGTTGGTACACACTGCTTTTTGGACAGATTAAAGCATCTGGCTAAGCTCACCTTTGGCACACCTTTCCCAATAAAGTGACCACACAGACAAGGGACCGCGATTAATTTAGAGTAAACTGATTTTATAAATATTACTTAATGTAGTTGCCAAACCTGTAGGCCATGTTCTGCTCCCCTGAAGACTGGCCGAAATACTTCCATCTTTGTTTACATTCCCACCCTGGCTAGTTTTTGGGTATTATATAAATATGGAATCATGCCATTTTGAAGCCCCAGTCTCAGCTTGTATGGGGCTATAGCAGGGGCTTCAATATGGAATGATTCTATATACACGAAGGGTACTTTTTATTACTAGTATTACTCATTTTAACAATATTTCATTTTCTCTATTGCCTGTAGTACCTAAAAGGGTTGGTTCGATTGGAACAGGAACGCTTTGAATAAACAAGTCAGGGATTGAATTTCCGACACCAGCGCATCAGTCCGATTGCGACAGTACCAATCACTGTTCAGCTGTCGCCATATAACCATTTCCTGCATTTTTCTGGGATTCTTCATAGGCCACAAATACAGTGTTTACATGCAGATGTAGCCTACAGAGTTTCCAATCAGAAGAAAGTATTTTCATCTCTCTGCAACTAATATTTTAACTTTTATGAGAGATGAAACATATTCCTTTGATCTATGTATATACTTTAAAGCTACCCAGACAATTCATCTGCAGCCAAACTGTCTCGAGCCATTTCCTTCCAGGTTTCCCTGAAAGTGACAAATCTTTATTTGCACTTAGGTGTCACTTCCAGTCTGAGGAAGCTGCTCTGTCTTTTTAGATGCTAATGGGTGAGCACATGTCTCTGAATACCTATGAATAAATATACGACTAAATACATCTTTAATAACAAGGAATGAAACTACATTTATGATTACATTTTGCTACAGGTCACATCTCAGCTACTCAAATCTGTACATTTATGTCACAGTTCACCTTTACAATATAACTACCTATGCAGGTAGGGTGTTTGTAGTTAAAAACCGTGCAGCTCTGACTAAAGTTAAATAAAGCCCTTGCTATAGGTGTAGGCCATTTACATACCTCCTGAAGCCTGACTGGAATATTCCCAGGCAGGGCTGGGACAAAGGGTGGGCGAGAGGGGCTGCTGCCCACTGTAGGGATGGGGAGCCTTCCCTTTGTTACAAGGCTGACAGGATTAGTGACAGCGGCAGTGTTGCAGACAGCTGAGTGACTGCACACCATGAATGGCGGGGGGGGGGTGTGCCGGGGAATTTGGTATCTTTGCCCTGGGCACTGGAAGACCTTGTCCTGAGGCCTATTCAGTACTGCTCACCCCATGAGCTTTTTCTCTGATTCAAACCCCCCCACATGCTCTTTCTACCCCCTGATGCAGTAGCTCTGAGCTCAGCATTTTAAAGCTCACTCCTGTGATGGTGGAGGTGAGCAGTAATGACTAGGCCTCACTTAGCAACGTTCTGGGAGTGACTGGCCTATAGCCATACCAAGGGAACTATTCAACTTTAGTCAGAGCTGCACAGTTTGTTTTTAACTACAGATGTTCTTTATCTACACAGTCAGCTTTTTGGTAAAGGTGAACTAACCCTTTAACCACCTCCCACCCACCATATAAGGTAATGATGGGAGAGCGGTGGTTCTCTCGTTCTGGGAGGACGTCATATGACGTCCTCCCACTCTAACCACGCGTGCGCGTCGTTTGGTGGTGCGCTGTGTCCCTGGGACACAGCGGATTACGGATCAGCGGAAAGAGTCAATGACGTCGGCTCTGTCACGTGATCAGCTATGTCCAATCACAGCTGATTGCATGTATATAAGGAAATGCTGGTTATCGGCAGTCCTCTCCTCCCGCTGACAGCTCATGAGAAGAAGAGAGCTGGTAATCGGCATTCCTCAGAGGGGACATGTACACTGATCATCAGGGCACTGTTGATCAGTGCCCTGATGATCAGTTTAGCCCCATCAGTGCCACCTGGCAGTGCCCATCAATGCCACCTGTCAGTGCCCATCAATGCCACCTGCCAGTGCCCATCAGTGCCACATCAATGCCACATATCAGCGCCCTATAGCAGAGATATCGCTAAAGGGCGGCAGGGCAGTGCAAAGTCATATATATATATATATATATATATATATATATGTGTGATTCGCATTTCTGGGTAGGGGGGCGCGCACATGTGCATGCACTGCCCTACCCGCACCGCCATTGACAGCTATGGATGTCAATCGCCAGGTCCCAGCTGGAGATTCCCCACCGCACTCGGTGATCGCCGAGTAAAACTGACAGGCGAGAGACCTGTGTGTAAACAACAAACAAAAAAATTCCAGTATATATACCGCCATTTGTAGGCACTATAACTTTCACGTAAACCAATTAATATACACATATTGGATGGCAAGTGGTTAAGCTTTTGGCAGAGTGAAATGCATTAGTGGGCAGAGATGCAGGTTTTTATGGAGAATGGTTTCTCTTTCTTTCTAAGAATATCAAGAAAAAAAAATATTGCATGATGAAGTTCACTTAGTACTTGCAATGCCCTATCTATCAAGAGCTCAGTAAGGCATTGTACACAGGGCATTTTTGCAGCCACTTTTAGGGGCGTCATGTTTTTTTTTTTTGTACTGCTTTCAAACGGCCCTCCATGTTATCCTATGTGTCCTTGCACACATAGACTTTTAGTAGCAGTAGCGTTTACCAGCAAGAATAAAAAACCCCAGGGCCAATGCGTCCAGGAGAAAAAATGCTTAACACGCGTAAACGCACCTAAATGCGTGTTAACGCTGACGCCTTTAGCGCTTGACCGTTAATTCATTTCAATGGCCAGAATAAAATATTATTCTGGGCAATTAAATTAACGCCCAAGCTTTTGACACTTGTAAAGGCGCCTAAACGCTTGTAAACACTTAGACAGACACCAGGTGTTTAATCTGCCAAGAGGAGGAGCATTTTTAAAACATGTTGCATGCATGAGGCCTAAGAATGTAACCCATTTTTGCAGCCAGCACAGATATTCCCAGTGCCAGCCTGACATGAAATTTCAGCTAGTGCACAGGGTAGAATGGATAAATAAAGATCACAGTGTTGATCAATTAACATCTGCAATACCGTTTGCCTGCAACCCATTGAAATGCAGTTTACAATTTCAGTTTGTATAATAACATGACATTTGTTTGACCGTTCATATAATTCTTTTGTAATAATGTATACAATCTGTAAACTTGTATAAAATGATGCATTTCAAACTAAACGATAGAATGTATATTTACTTTGAAAATTCAAGTGTCTTGGTGTCTTCTTTCCAGTACCAGTGTCCTGGTGTGGGTTTTGGAATCTGCAAAGAAATATTGCATACATGTCATATGTTTTTTAAAAAGATTGTGTGACTTTGCCCATTCACAGCACACTTCCTGAGTCAGATATTCACACCTTCCATATCCTTCTCTGCTGCTCCCCTGCTCTGCAGTCCTAACCCTGTGTAAGCTCCATCCTCCCAAGACCTTCTGCTCTCTAGATCCCGTGTCACCTCCTCCCATGCTCACCTCCAGGACTTCTCCTGAGCTCCTCCCATCCTATGGAACTCCCTACCCCAATCTGTTTGGCTGTCTCCTAATCTATCCACCTTTAGACAATTAAAACCTTTCTCTTTAAAGAAGCCTATCCTGCTAACTAGTATCTGCCTTTTATTTCCTCCATTAGCTCATCCCCCCACAGCTATTACCTTTTATATCACCCAACCCTTCCTCCTAGATTGTAAGCTCTAACGAGCAGGGCCCTCTGTATCCTCTTGTACCAAATTGTATTGAAACTATAATGTCTACCTTCATTTTGTAAAGTACTGCACAAACTATTGGAACTATACAAATCACTTGCACTATACTGGTCCTTTATTTTGAAAGTTTGGAGACCCCTGGTTTACAGACTCCTGCAACAAAAAATAATAAATGCACATTTCTTTACCTGTAAAAAAATGTGCATTTAATATTTTTTGTATAAAGGTGAAATTAACTTCAAGTTAAAACAGAGCTCCACCCAAAAGGGGAAGTTATGTTTAAGGCCTCCTCCCCTACTCCTTGTGAAATGGTACTTTTGGGAAGGGGGGGGGGGGGCAGGTACCTGATTTCCCGATTCTGCTCCAAGTGCCTAGGTGGTCTCATCCCCCTCCCTCCCTGTGGTCTTCTGGGACACGTGAAAGGTCCCAGAAAATTGTGGGACCATTCACAATGCTCAGCACGGCTCGGGCATGCGCAGCGGGCACCCAGCTGTGAAGCCACAAGCTGTCACATCTGGGTGCCCACAGTTAAAATTTCAGTGCTGGGGACAGACAACAGAAGGTGAGCACAGCGTTGGATCCTGGGACAGGTGAGTGGCTGTTTATTAAAATTCAGGACCTACAATTTTGTAGCTGCTGATTTTTCATTTTCACACAGGAAACTAGAGCTCCTTTTTAATGACACCCCAAATGCAAGTTGCAAATGCAGTGCACTTTCCTGCACTGGATTGCATGGTACAAAAGTACCATGCGATCCGGTCACAGTGCATTTCCAAAAGTAGTGCATGCAAAATGAATAGGTCCAAATTGCACCGCGCTGAACCGCGTGTTTAAAAGTTCAGCAATGTTCAGCGCTTCATATTATGAACCCAAGGTGGGTGGAATCGTTGCCACCCAAGGGCAGAAAGTGTGTTAGGACTACATAACACCTCCCTCTCTACTCACTAAGGCTAGGTGCACACCTATGCAGTTTGCGTTGATCCGTTTCTGCAGTGCATTTTATGTTGCATATTGCATTTTTGCAGCGATTTGTGTTTTTTCTTGTTGCTAGGCAGATTAAAAATGCAAAATGCCTCAAAAAGCATAAAAAATGCACTAAATGCTTTTCTGCAGCATTTCCATTGAAGTCTATAAGTCTAGGTTCAAAAATGTGTGGGTGGTGCCGCTGCGGATCTGCACAAAAATCCGTGAAGCCGCACCACCCACACAGAAGAATGTGGACCTGCAGGTGGGTGCCATTAATTCTAATGGAATGCTGCCCGCACTGGAAATCGCAACTGTACTGGGAACCGAGGTTCCCGTGCGGGCTGCGTTTTTAGAAGAAATGCAGGGACTGCGAGTCCAAATGAATGGGCTCTCGTGCCTGCGCAGGACGTGGCCCGCAGGAACGCAGATATGTTAACCATGGGTAAAACCAGAAACACAACTTTTTGCGTTCAAAAAAGTCCTCAACCCTTTCCAAAAAATGCACCGGGCGAAAACGCAGAGATGTGAACGTGTCCCATAGGAAATCATGTTAAATGGACTGTAGTGCGTTTCTGCAAAATGTAATGGTGGTGTCTGGAAGTCCATGGAGATAGCAAGGAACAAAGCTAACTGATAAAAGTCCAGAGGCAGAGCGCACAGGGAGTGACTGGCTCACTAGATTTGTGGCTGGATACACAGCTATTTTCTTTTTGCCCATATCAAACAGATGTCATAAAATGTGTTCAGTAGGTATATGTAATAGACCAAAAAGGGAGCAAATAAGGCCCCATTCACACACCGCCTTAGCAGGAATGCAGGCTCCCACTAGCGATTTGTGTGAGTGCAGTTCATATGCGGAACTGCGCGTTGCTCATAGGGTAGTCCATTTATTTGAATGAAAAGACGTTGGATCAAAGAGCAGTAAAAAAACCATCCCTGTGAGGAAAAATAGTGCACATGCTTGAACACCCCACTACTGCTGTGTTAGCACCAGGGGTGGACTGACCATTTGGAAACTCGGGCACTGCCCGAGGGCCCGGGGTCATTAGGGGGCCCCATGAGATGCCCCTGGCACCTTTTTCATAGGCTTTTTTGAGTTTGAGCAAAGACACAGGGGCCCCATGATCCCCTATTGCCCGGGGGCCCCATGACTTGTCAGTCCACCCCTGGTTAGCACATATAGTGAACCAATAGCTTAATAAAAGGAGCAGCGCTGTGAGAGTGGCTAGAGTTGAACCCCGCTGGGAGGTGTACCTTTAATGTAATGCCAGATGGTATGAATCACAAGGAATGCAAACAATGCCTGGGCCAGGATGGACATGGTCCTGTCACTGCTGATGGACCACGTGTCTGTGGCATCCCGGAATGACGTCAGTGCGGTCTACAGAGGAAGCGGGAGGATGCAACGCTGAAACGCAAGCCAAGATGGAGGCCAAATAACCAGTAAACTTGACAAGGTGCATGCGTGCGAAACGCGTTGTCCGGTGGACTTGACAAGGCGCATGAGCGCAAAATGCGTTGTCTAGGTTATTTGGCCTCCATCACGTGGTCCATCACCAGTGACAGGAGAACCCCTTGTCTCATACAATCCATATCGGAGTGGACTGGCCGTCCATCCTGGCCCAGGCATTCCTTGTGATTCCTACCAACTGGTATTACAATAAGGACGCACCTCCCAGCGAGGTTCAACTTCAGGAGCGGACAGGTCAGCGGGAGAAGAGGACTGCTCCCTTGAGAGCCAATCACCTTTGCAGAACCAGCCATATTCTTTGTGAGGAGACCCCATGGGAGCAGGCTGTATCCATTGAGTGGGGATCCCCCATGAGTGATAACACCGTCAGGGAATAAGGACCAATCGGACCTGATCTGACCAGACCTATCTGGATGACATCTAGATGACCAGAGGCTACTACTATTTATGCGCAATTGAATTGCGTATCTGGTGAGTGCGCAATCTCATTATTTATCACCAAGATCTACGGTCCATATCACTGGACACCCCGAGATCATCTGGAATCTCATCAACACTTCTTCTCTCTGGACTTTTTAACGGAGTCAACACCCTTTAGCACCTTTGACCACCATCTAGTGGTCTCTGTGTTTGCACCTTGCCACTCCATATATGCATTTGTGTCATTGTTGAATTTAATAGTGCTGCACCCCTTCTTTGTATAGAGGTTCAACTCTAGCCACTCACACATCGCTGTTCCTTTTGTTAAGCCATTTATTTCAATGGGCTGTTCTATGCGCAGTTATCACTCCAAGGAAGCTCAGGGACCAGATTTTGGCCCTAAGCCTGGAGCGATTTTGCCACGGGTCTCGAGTGTTTTGTTGGGTGACAATCGTGCCAAAATCGTCATTTATTTGAGGTGCTATTCATTCTGAATGGCACCCCAAATGCAGTCCAATTGTGCCACAATTGTCATGTGACAAAGCACGTGAGGCTCGCAGCAGAGTGAATGGCACGTAAACGCACGCCTCGCATTTTGTGTTCGCATTCCAAATCACTTAAATGTGAAGGAGCCTAAGAGGGGCTTATTGTTGGAGTCTGCATACACTGTAATGTTATTACTACTGATCTCTGCACAGATACGTGGAATTAGCATGAATTTCCTCTAGAAATCAGTCAGCACTAAACACATCACTATATACAGTGAATTGCACTGATTCAGCACTTACCGGTTCCATGGCTCTTCAGAAGGATGGCCATTTGCAATCACTGCATTGTTTACAGTGAGGAGTCGGTTGCTAAGCAATCTCTAGTAGACGCCTCTGTAGGTTGTGATTGGCAGGGGGGGTGTGGCTACAACATGCAGCCTGAGATGAATGTGAGTTCATGGTGTTGGAAGAGTCAATGACATGCAGTGTATGCTCCCCATGATCACTATTGTCGTCACTCAAGCTGAATATAATCATCTCTGGAATGGCTAAGTCCATCTTTCAGAAAAAATAAAATAATAATAAGAAATGCACATATATTTGCAGGAATAAAATGTACATTTATTATTTTTCTGACTGTGATCCGTGTATGGTGGTGCAATGCCAGGCTTCTGCAAGCTCTTTCTCTATCTCTATGTCAATAACAAGGTATGGGCTTTAAAGTGACACTAAACAATATCTTTATTCTCCAAAAACAATCCATTCACATCCACTACCTAATGACCCTGTATTCTATTTCTCATTATATTGCTTCTTAATGTATTCTTTTTCTTCCTCCCTTTAATGTTCACTGTGAACTTCCAAACCTCTCCTTTTCCACTCACTTCAGTTTGTTTGGAATGAGCAACACACGTTAGTCGCAGTCATGTGAACTGCTCTACAATATGCACACTATACATCCCATAGTCCATAGCTTATAGTCCATAGTTCATCTTGCTGGTGAGCAAGTGAAGGGGGCTACATTCCAACATATACTATATTGCCAAAAGTATTGGGACGCCTGCCTTTACACGCACATGAACTTTAATGGCATCCCAGTCTTAGTCTGTAGGGTTCAATATTGAGTTGGCCCACCTTTTTGCAGCTATAGCAGCTTCAACTCTTCTGGGAAGGCCATCCACAAGGTTTAGGAGGGTGTCTATGGGAATGTTTGACCATTC